AAGTTGAGTGGCTAACATCCTTTGGGAAATGATTGTGAAAATGCTAACACACATACACATGGTGGTGTACACTTGGTGGTGTTGGCACATTTACAAAGGAGGTGGTGTTTGCAGGGGTGAGATGGGTTTGGGTCTCGGCGGGATTCGGTGCTTTCGGGAAAATAGAATGCCTATTTTCTATTGCGCCGGATGCAAGTTCTTGTGGTTAGCACATTGGAGCAAGGGTGATGAAGTTAGAAGTGAAAACGAGTTAGTCGCGAAGATGCTGGCGTCGGTCAACTGACCGGACGCTGGATCTGAATGCACCGGACACTGGCAGTGCGTCCGATCAGCCGACGACGATGACGCAGAAAGTTGGAGTGTGACCGGACTTTGGTGGTCCGGATCGATTATGTGACCGGACGCGTCCGGCCGAGGTCAATACTTCTTTATTGAAACGACCGGACGCTAGGGGTTCAGCGTCCGGCCGGTTGAAAGCTGCTTGCGTCCGGTCAAGTCAAGTGACCGTTGAATCGGGACACATGGCTATTCGGGCGCATCAACGCCGAGGTCCAGCGTCCGGTCAACACGACCGAGCGTCCGTCCGCCCGCCCGACTTTTGCCCGATGAAGGGGTAACGACTAGTTTAGCCCTTGGGGCTATAAATAGAAGTGGCCCTCGCCATGGCTGGTGTGGAGCACCTCAAGGGACTTAGTGTCCATGCTTGTGAGTGCTTGGGAGCCCTCCATCACACATATACTTGATAGTTATCATTCGATTGTGTGAGTGAGCGATTCTAGTGCGATTGCATCGTGAGGTTGCATCGAGTGGCACTAGGTGGTCGTGTTGCAAGTCGGTGGTGCTTGTTACTCTTGGAGGTTGCCACCTCCTAGACGGCTTGGTGGTGGTCTCCGCCGAAGCCCGCAAGAAGCTTGTGCGGCGCTCCGCAGAAGTGCTTGTGAGGGGTACTTGTGCTCGCCCCATGGAGTCGCGAAGAGCAACTTTAGTAAAGCGTGTCATTGAGCTACCTCACTCAAGGGGTAGGTTCTTGCGGCGCTGACGTGCGGGCTTAGCGGGTGATGCTAATTAGTCAGCCGAACCACCAAGTGAGCGGTCGACACAACGGGACTAGCGTGTTGGCAAACACGTGAACCTCGAGAGAGAAAAATCATCGTGTCAACCTTGTTCTTCCGTTGGTTTGCATCCCATTACACAAGCTTGCAATTACTTTTATATATCTTAAGCTTGTGTAGTTGCTCTTGTAATTAGTTAGCTTGTGTAGCTTACTAGTTACCTTCTTGCTTGTGTAGCATAGAAGTAGCTCCCTTGCGTGGCTAATTTGGTTTTAGTAACCTTGTTAGTCACATTGCTTAGTTTGTGTAGCTAAGTATTTGTGCTCTCTAATTAGACGTTGGTTGCCTTGTTATTGAGCATTGCTAGTGAGCTTAGTTAGCTTTGTGCTTTTGCTTACTAGCATGTGTAGGAGCTCCCTTGTTACTTAAAGTACTAGTGACATAGGTTTGTGTGACCTTGCTCCTAGAATTGTTTAGGAGAGCTCTAGCTAGCCCGGCACCTTAGTTGCTTTATTATTATTTTTGCAAGGTGCTAGTGAACATATATAGAAGGGTGTAGTCTTGGCTAGACCGATTGTTTTAATTCCGCATTTATATCGGTTAGCCGACGCGATTAATTTTAGAAAAGACTATTCACCCCCCCTCTAGTCCGCCATCTCGACCTTACAATGTGGATAGGTGTGCATCCAAACAAGACCTAAATCGTAGAAGCTAGGTTTAAAAACCTAGATTGTTATAATCTGGATTATAAAGCTAAGGTAAGCTATTGTACAGGGTTAGATTACCAAAATACCATTATTCTTTGTTTTATGCTGGTGTAGTCACAATAGGAAGGCGTATAATTTTCTTTTAATGTCCAGAAGTTGCAAGAAGCTAGGTTAGACCAGCTTCCAAGATTATAGAATATGTAGCTCTCTAGATTTATAAGCTGAGTGAAAGTTTGTGACTGTTTAGAGCTCCTAAGAGATTCTAGAAGCTAGCTTCTACACTCCACTATAATTCAAACAGGCCCATAGATCCATATACCCTGAATCCATAGGTGGGACCCACATGAATAAAAAACATGGTCCCTCACCCACCTTCTTTCTCCCACACTCATCTCCTCCCTTGGTCCCTCTCTCATCCCACCTTCCTTTTCCCCGCTCATACCCCTCCCGCCCCTCCGCCTCCTCCCTCCAAGGTTCCACGTCCTCCTCCCGCCCGCCAGCAGGATGTGTTGTCTCCTTAGACTCCCTCCTCGCCAGATCTGGTGCGAGCATGGAGCCCCTCCCCTGGCCCTGGAGACCTAGCCCCCTGGAGCACGCGAGAGTGTGAGGAGCTTGTCCACCCATGGCACCGTCATCATGGGCTCCTTCACTCTCCTAGGCTCTGTGCTCCTTCACCTAGATCTAGGGGCTCTCATGGGGCTCAACCACAAGGATGGGGGTGACGACTAACGATGAGCTAGGCGAGAGGAAGTTGGGGTTCCAAGCAAGGACAGTGACAATGACTTCTTCATTGTGACGATAGTGCCAACGACAAGAAAGAGAAGAAGGGTGAAGAGATAAAGCGTGATTTGTTTTTTGTTTGAAGCCGTGTTCCGTATAAGGAACCGCACATCCATGGAATCAAGTTCACACTATATAGGTACCTATTCTAATATCGCATTTGTTGTATAGGAGCTGCTTATGAATGCTTATTGTGGACACCCTTACGCCATATCCTTTTTATCTTGAGCACTAAGCATTAGCCTTGTTTCATTTACGTAGACATTTAAAAAACAACGTAGCTATTTGGCAACCCCGATTCTAATTCATGGTCACTTTTCTCTCTTTCGCATGTGGGTTGTTGTCCTCATATTTTTCTCTCTCCTCTACCTCCCTAGCTATCCTCCTCCCTGCTTAAATAGAGTACTACAATGACACATCCTTTTTACGTGGTCTTAGCTTAGTCCAAGCAAAAAAAAGGATTCCCCAACCCCTTATCTTCCTCCTATATATTTCTGTTTTGTGTCCTTGAGGAGATCTCTTATTTTTCCATCGCCTCTCTTTTTTAAAGGAGTTAGCCATGGTGGCATTCATGACACCCTCTTTCCTTACTGAGACTGATATAATCCAAGCACAATAATGGATAGCCCATTATTTCCACCTCACATCCCTTATTTCCTTTTATTCTTTGCACGCGTCTAGACATTTGACCTCGCTCTCAAACCACAATATAATGGATGCAACTAACGACAACCGACCCTTCTTCAACCTCGTGCTCCCTTGCCACCTCTCCCCATTCGGCTCCACCGCTCTCCCATGCCGTCCCCCACGCCATCATCACTAATCCAATTATCTTATTCTTCTTTACCGATCTACTACCCGCTACCAAAGACCGCTTCTACCAAACCTCTTCCACTACCTATGACCGCTATCACACTCATCTCCCCAAACCCCCCTTTATAGCTATAGAACATAAAACCGCCAACCTCGAAACTCTAACCACTTCCTAGCTTAGGGTCGGCAAATACAACTCGTCAGAGGAGGCTCGGGATCGTCGGATCCAGTTTATTCGTCATCGTCGCAGACCTCAGGTCCTTAGTAGCCATGGATTTGACGGGGAGAGAGAGGCGAGGAAGACGGATGAAGGTGGAGGAAGATGGAGCACGCAAGTGCAAACTGGTTCGGAGATAAGGCACCAATCTTACACAAAAAAGAGCGAGAGGTGCTTGAATTTTTAGAAAATTTAAGGCAACAATCTTATACAAGCAACCAATACAACTAAAAGATTAATTCATAGAGACAATTCATATTTTTCTATGTCCGAGCAGCGGCAACATTATATATTGGCCCTGTTCGCTTGTCTTATGAGTTGTACTATTTTAACGAACAAATAATGTTTTTTTCTTACAACAAATCAGCGAACAATACTTTCAGCAATTTTTTTTCAGCAAAGCGAACAGAGCCATTGACTAAATATAAAAAAAGGCACTTAAATGTAGAAGAAGTGCATGGAGTACTTTCCTTTCCTCGTCCCAACCAAATCCAAGCTTTGTACACAGTCGTACAACACCACTCCTACAGTCACGATCTGTGAAAGTCCCACTTCGACCAGCCCCCGGGTCCCACGGACCACGACGGCTGGCCAGACCCGCAGACCATCGAGTCCAGACTCGTCCACCGGTCGGGCACCCTTTGGTACGCGAAGCGCGGCCACCCACCGGGCCCCGCTGCCCCGTAGGCCACAAACATTCCGCGCCCCACGCCACAGAAGATCCGCCAACAGTTCTACGATCTCATCGCACGAACGAGAACGAGGAACGCAGCCGCAACCACCCCCAACCGATGAACGCGCGCACGTCCCAGCCCGCCGCGAGATTCACAACGCGCACGCACGAAATCCACACCACTCCAAGAACAGATCCACATCACTGCTCCCTTTCTTTCCTTGGCTGCTGAGCCTGACTCCTCCGCATCGAGGGAAAAAAAGGGCGGAGACTACTACTACTCCCCCAGGCAGCGCAGCGGAACGGAAGAGCATCAAACGCCAGCAGCAGCAGCAGCAGCAAGGCAATAATAAAAGTCGGAGGCATCAAATCCAAAAGGTTTTTATTAGCATGGAAGCGATCCAAACCCCTGACCAATTCGGGAGGAGGAGTTGCATCTGTGGCCTCCCCTGTTGCTCCCCTCTTCCTCATCGCGGTCGCGCGCGCCCGCGTCCCTATTACTCTCCGCGTCCGGGTTGGGGCGCGTCCACCGATCCTTACTTCGCGTTTGCGCTGCGACGTTACCTGCTTCCACTCGTTGGTGGAATTCGTGGCGCCGATCGAGCCGCGGACTCGCTTCGGGCTCGGTGCCTGTGTATTTATTGGGGGAAATCGCCGTAGCGTGTGATTAGGTTGTTGTTGTTCTTCTGTGTGGCCTGGTCTTCGCGTGTGTGTTTTGTTGTCTGGTGGAGGCGAATCTAGGGTTACGGTCGTCGGAGATGGAGTCCTCCGACGACGGGGGCTCCGGGCCGCCGGCGGCGGTGGGGATGGGGAGTCCCGGCCCTTCGTCGGTCCCCGCGGCCGTTGGTGGTGCGAGTAGCGCACCTGGCGCGTCCGGATCCGGGGAGAAGCCACCGGTGAAGCGCGTCATGAAGACGCCCTACCAGCTGGAGGTTCTTGAGAGGACGTATGCAGGTGCGTCGACTACTGATGATTCTGAATGTTTTGGGGGTTTGTTTTCGCGAGCTTTTGATTGAATTATGCGTGTGGTTTTCATGGGGATTTTGTTTGCGTAGAGGATTCGTATCCAAACGAGACGAAGCGGGCGGAGCTGTCGGTGCAGTTGAACCTCACAGACAGGCAGCTGCAGATGTGGTTCTGCCACCGCCGGCTCAAGGACCGGAAACCGCCGGCCAAGAGGCAGCTGAGGGACGAGGAGGTTAGCGTCCCAGTCATAGCGCCGCCGCCGCCTGTGCTTCCGCCTCCATTGCCACCCAGCGAGATGATATTAGGGACTGTTGGAACCTATGGTGAGCAGCTGCCGCCCTATTCCAGGAGAGGGCCTGGCCGGTCATCGGCAGTGCCTAGGCTATCTGTGCCGGAGATTGGGAGGAGATACTATGAGCCACCACAAGTTATGCTGCCTCACATGGCACCAGTGCACCTTACGCAAGCTGAGCACCAGGTGATCGATTCTGTGGAAGCACTTATCGGGGAACCTTTGAGGGACGATGGGCCAGTGCTTGGTATTGAATTTGATCCACTTCCTCCTGGTGCATTTGGCGCACCTATCGGTAAGAACCTTGTGCTCATGATGCGTTGTACTAATTACCGGGGCTCATCAACTTAATTCCCCGGTAATTAGTACAACTTTGAATATCCCCTTTATTCTTGTAGATCGGTAAAGGGGATATTCAAAGTTGTACTAATTACCGGGGAAAGTTAATTCCCCGGTAATTAGTACAACTTTGAATATCCCCTTTACCGATCTACAAGAATAAACACCTTTGATGTGTTATATTTGATGCCTTCATATATATTTTTCAAATAAATTTACAATACATACATAAGACCGATTTAGAAGCCTATTGTGTAGACCTTTCAAGCTCACCCAACTGTCATTCAAATATTTTTTATTATTAAATGTAATGGATATAGACTCAGATTTCTATTTTACTATGTCTTTTTATAGCGTTGGAAAGTTTCGACGCGGATTGTTTTGTAGAGTCTGAAATCTGAATTGTTGCTGATGTATTCTTTGCCTTATTTACATTATGCTGATTTACTTTCTGCTATTTATTTTGAATGTTTTGGAGCAGTTCCTGTGCCACCAAAGCAGCCCTTCCGATCATATGAGGCCAAGATGTTTTCTGGGCATGATCCCAAACCCATGAAGGTATGCATTAGTTTGCTTGCAGACAAATGCTTGTTTTTTTACCACTTCATCGACTCCTTGTCTTTGAATAGATGACATAAAGAGACTCTATCCATTTTTCTATGTGTTGTTTCCATCAATCTGCCTTCTCATAGGGATTCTTTTCACTGGAATAGTGGCTGCAGTTTGCAATGATATTTTTGGCATTTTCCGTAAGCCAAGGCTGTGCAATAGTGTTTTTGTTCTAATAAGGTATGCGCTGTAATGGTATTCGAGTCATGCGCTGCTGTGTTGCATGTTTTATTCATTTCATGCATATTGTTGCATTGAAGGGAATGGACACCATATGTGCATATGCTCTCTTTATAGAGCATAGTCTTTTCGTTAGATTTGTTACTGTACACTGGTTTCATGATTATATTATACTTTATCACACCTCATGGATTTGCATTGTTTGGAGTTTTTGAGTTCTAATCTATCTCTTCTTGTCCGCTGCTTTTTGTTCTGGATGAGGTTATTGTTTTCTTAAATAATCCAATCATGGATCAGTTTAAACTTTAAAATCTGTTTCCCCTTTGTAGGCTTCGGCATTCTTGCCTACCACAGACCCTTTACTTCCAAATACAGGGAAACGAAAGTCCTTGGTTGGGTCTTCTCATCTTGGCTCACAGGCAGTACGTGAATACCAGTTTCTTCCTGAGCAGCCAAGTGACACATATGAGAGGGCAAGCCAGTCGCGCTTCTATGATGCTCCAGCAGAGGCGTCAAACTTGAGGGTAGCTCCTCTGTCTACAGGTTCACGCTTTCTACATGGACTTGAGCAGGCACCTGGCTATACATTTCACAGTCAATCATCTGGTTCTAGCCATTTGGCTCAACGTGGCAGATTGCCCATTGCATCAGCATTGACAGATCATTTGGGGGCTTTGTCAAATATTAATGCAGCTCCAATCCACGGCCAATTTGGCATGCCTCAAGTTCCCGGATTCGAAAGCTCCCTCGCATCCTCTGAAAGAATGGGATATCATGATGATGATACATATCGTGTGGACAGAAAGCGCAAGGTATGTTCTCGCTGCATTTGTGGATATATGCCCTGTTTTTCAGCACTGCTTCAACAGTACTTTTCAGCGTAGGAACAGTGTTTTCCTCTCACAACAAATCAGCATCAGCATCAGCAGCAGTCAAATTTCAGCTAAACGTCTTCTTTTGTATTATTATATTACGTTTTGATATAATTGTATCTTTGTCTATCGTTACTTCAGCATAATGAGGAAGCTAAGATTGCTAGGGAGGTTGAGGCTCATGAAAAGAGAATCAGAAAGGAGCTTGAGAAGCAAGATCTGCTGAACAGAAAGGTCTTCCTTAGTTGCACTAAGAAAGTTCATGCATACCTTTCATGATGCATTATTAATTTTTTTCGTATTTCGGCAGAGAGAAGAACAAATGCGGAGGGAAACAGAGAGACTTGATCGTGAGAGACGTAAGGAAGAGGAGAGGTTGATGCGTGAAAGACAGAGGGAAGAAGAGAAATTGCAAAGGGAACAAAGACGTGAACACAAGCGTATGGAGAAGTTTATGCAGAAACAATCTATAAGAGTAAGTTCGCTAGTTTCTGCAGTTTGTAATACAAATTGAGTAAACTGCAGACTTTTAAGTCTAGTACGCTGGCACTGTTTAGTTCACAATTTGTTGCATGCACAGGCTGAAAAACTAAGACAAAAAGAGGAGCTTCGACGAGAGAAAGAAGCTGCGAAGCAGAAGGCTGCTAATGAGAGGGCTACAGCACGTAGAATCGCGCGAGAGAGTATGGAATTGATGGAAGATGAGCGCTTAGAACTATTAGAACTGGCCTCTCGTAGTAAAGGGCTGCCCTCGATGGTTTCTCTTGATAGTGACACATTACAGCAGCTTGATTCATTTAGAGGTACACTCCACATTCATGGATCTGTGCTTCTGGACCACGTACACTGCTTGATGTGATGTAAGAAATTTTGATTTCTCCATTTGCAGGAATGCTGGGAAAGTTTCCTCCTGAAACTGTGAAACTGAAGGTGCCTTTTTCAATAAAACCATGGGCAGCTTCCGAGGATATTATTGGAAACCTTTTGATGGTACCTCCTGATCTTTAGAATGTACATTTTCCCCTTTTGAAACAATGAGTGGTTATGAAAAGCTTTATAATTTTCGACATAGCTCTTTCTGTAAGAAAATACTTCCCTTCCTAAGATAAGATTATTCAGTGGACAGGAACTAGAATACAGAAGTTCAATAGGCCTATTGATGTCTCTGTTTTGTCCTTTTTGAAAGCCCATTTTTCTGTTGCTGTGATTTATGATTCTATTGGATCATGTATTCTCCTTGTGTTGCTACTTTTTGGCTATCCTGCTACTGCATCATGGAATTGCATATCTTAAGAGTGTATCACGTCTTAGAATTTATATTCATTAATGTTTCTAATAGAACGTGGTGTTGATGAAATCCAGGTTTGGAAGTTTTTGGTTACCTTTGGTGATATTCTTGGGCTTCCATCATTCACATTGGATGAGTTCGTGCAGGCTCTTCATGATTATGTAAGTTCTTGATATAGCATATCATGTTGAAAGGTAGTCTTGATACGATGACATGATGCTGGTTCATTTTATATCTTGATGACAACTAGGACAGGGACATGGTCCTAGGCTTTTTCATTTGTACCATCTACTTGTTTCATTGAGTAAAGATATCAGCATATTATGATGTCATGCACTGTCTCGTTTAACTCTTGTGAGTGATATAATTTACATTTCCTTTTCCATACTAAACTAAAATTTGATTGTTGGGTCATGACTGTTTCATCATATCTTTGAACACTTTCTTATACCATTTCATGGATTTAGATGTGTGCCATAACCAATTCTTCTTCTTATTCATCTGATAGGATTCAAGGCTCTTAGGTGAATTGCATGTTGCTCTGCTGAAATCTATCATTAAAGATATTGAGGATGTTGCCCGGACTCCTTCAGTTGCTTTAGGCGTAAATCAGAGCAGTTCTGCTAATCCTGGAGGTGGCCACCCACAAATTGTTGAAGGGGTATGTGTTCAGAATTGCTGGTTCTCTAAAACGTTCTTTTTTGAAGGATAGTGATGATTTTTTAATGAAAAAACATTTCTTGTTTAGGCGTATGCTTGGGGCATCAACATACTTAACTGGCAGCGCCACTTGAACTTTCTTACATGGCCTGAAATATTGCGCCAATTTGGTTTATGTGCTGGTTTCGGGCCTCAGTTAAAGAAAAGTGATGCTGAAATTGTCCATCACCGCGAAGATAATGAGGTATTGTTTCCGTTGTGAACCTCGATGATACTTTGACAGTTATATTATAATCATGTGGAGTAATTTATATTTCATTGAGTAATTTCGAGAAAACATGATTGTATTGCTTAGCCAATACTCCATTCTTGTTTACTTGTCGTTTTAGGCAATGTCATTGTCTTCAAGACACACCTTTGACAGTTACTTTTTCTACATCCTATAATATCAGGATATGTCAAACATATAATGATCTGAGAGTATGTTTCTCTTGTCTAGTAGGTGTAAAAGTTAGTGTACGCATTCTTAAACGATAGCTATTTGAGAATGGGTGTCTGTGGGGTGGGGGGTTAGACATTCACACTGCTTGTATTTTAGGCATCTGGAATCACCATGTTGAGGGGCATCATAAAATTGTGGATAGGCTAAATAATAAACGGTTATATAATTCTGGCTTATTTTAATGTCATTGCTTTATGTATTAATTTCTTTTGTTGAAAACATGTGAAATTAGTGCTTCAAGGCTTAATTAGCATATCTTCCTGGACTGATAAGCAGACAAGTCTTCATTTGGTCCATGGGTGATAGTTGACGGACTAGATTGTCCATTCGATTTTACATGGCCAAAATGTGATCCCATGCAGAGGGAAGGTGTAATTGGACGATGCCACTGGCATCTGCTAGAAAACTGCCATTTTATGAGAAACTCATATATACTATACACATTACTGTTTGGAGTCTTAAAGCTGACTAGAGACTGGTATCTGTGGCCTTAAGGATTTAGGTCTTAAATGGGTTTGTTAGCACTTCCAGGGAATGAATAGGTGTTAAGTGGATCACCAGTAGTAGCCAATGTTCAAGAAGGCACTAGGCGGTTTCTAGGTGACGACCCATGGCCTAGAGCCTAAGCGAGCCTAGGCTAGCCTAGGCGTTTCAAGGCGTTTTTCTAGGCGTTTTGCTAAATTTGCATTCAGCATGTATAGCTGAATAAATATATAAATGTAGTAGCTGAAATACTGAATAAATAGAAGTTCCTACAGCAATAGAAGTGGTATCTTGTGAAAAAAATAGAAGTTCTAGGGACTAGAATGTAATAAATCAGTAAAGGAAATCATAGCAAGAAAATTTGCAGAAATTTTTACAAAGTCGAGGGGCAAGTCGCAAAATCGCTCTGTCTTATCCACATCTCATCTGCAGCCCGAGCAGTGCGTCTTCTTTCCCGTGACCTTCTTCTCTCTTCTTTCCTGTGACCTCTCTCTCTCTCAGTGGAGTCCGGCTGCAGGCAGGCAGGCCACAGGCTCAGCCTTCGAGCGTTGCCGCAGCTTCGCCTCGCGCGCTCCCCACGCCATCACGACCCAAGGCCTGCCTTTCCTTTATGCTCCCTTCCCCTCTCCTTCAAACGGATGCGCATCTGACTGGATTGGGAGGAGGGAGGCCTGGAGGAAGCGGCCCGCAATGGATCCGGTGGCGCAGCTCCCTCCCTCGGGCGGCGCGGCGCCTATTCTCCGCTTATCCCCCAAGGCGAGGCGTTACCCCTCCGCCTAGCGCTGAAGTGCGCCTGGGCGAGCGCCTAGTACCGCCTTTTTGAACATTGGTAGTAGCAGGGTTATGGTAAGAAAGGTTTTGGGTTAATTTACTTGAAATTGACTGGATTCAATTCTAAGTACAGGTGTATGTGTTCCATTCATGACAATTCAAAAAAGTATAGCTGCATCTTGCATATTTGCAGCAGACTTGTTTTTTAAACTGTTTCCTTTTGCTGTTCGTATAAACAAGATGGAAATTTCCCAAAATATCTAATCAATTCGTGCTTTTTTTTAAAGGGCCGTAATGGTGTAGATGTCATTTCCATTCTGCGAAATGGTTCAGCGGCTGTAAAGGCTGCTGCTTTAATGAAAGAAAGAGGCTATACTAATCGTCGCAGGTCTCGACACCGTCTGACACCTGGAACAGTAAAGTTTGCTGCTTTCCATGTACTGTCACTTGAAGGGAGCAAAGGTCTCACAATATTGGAAGTCGCACAAAAGATCCAGGTATATCCACATCAAACAAATTTCTAGATTGTACTGACCTGTTATTTCTAATGGAACCTATTTTGGTTTGTTCTTTTTTCTCTTCAGAAATCTGGACTGAGAGACCTTACAACAAGTAAGACACCAGAGGCATCTATATCTGCGGCATTGTCGAGAGACACTAAGCTTTTTGAAAGAACGGCACCTTCGACATATTGTGTTAAAACTCCTTACAGAAAGGACCCAGATGACTCTGAGGCTGTGTTGGCAGCAGCACGTGAAAAAATCAGGGTGTTTCAGAGTGCGCTTTCGGAGTGTGAAGAAGTGGAGAAGGATGTGGATGAGGCTGAAAGGGATGAGGATTCTGAATGTGATGATGCTGATGATGACGCTGATGGTGATGACGTGAATATTGAGGACAAGGATGCCAAGTCTTCCCTAGTTGGAGCTCAATATGGTGCACAAAGTACAGTAGTTGGTGACATAAAGAAAGAATCAAACAGTGTGATGAACACATCAGTGCCACCAAGCATTCAGATTAAATCTAGCGCAAGTGTACCATTGCATACTTTAGACAGTAAAGCAAGTTCAACTGATCCAGAAGTTGGAGGTGATGCTAAAGACACTGAGATAGACGAAAGTAACCAAGGGGAGTCCTGGGTACAGGGGCTAGCTGAGGGTGACTACTGTGATCTTAGTGTGGACGAACGCCTCAATGCTTTGGTTATGCTTTTATTGGTGTTGCCACTGAAGGAAATTCTATCCGTGCAATTCTGGAGGTAATGTTTCTATTGTGATTTTGTTATCTTGCTATTTTCCCATTGAACATCATCTGACCAAGAGGCTTTACAGGAACGCCTTGAAGCAGCAAGTGCTTTAAAAAAACAAATGTGGGCTGAGGCACAACTTGATAAGAGGCGTACAAGGGATGACTTTACTAGTAAGACACAGTATGATTCTTGTGTGGGTATGAAGGTTGATACAGATCAAGAAAATGCTGCTGAAAGTACCCTTACGCCAGTGCATAACCCTATTAAAAACAATAACGGAAATGCCAGTTTGACGAACAATGATTTGCTTGTTGACAAGCAGAACCAGCTTATTACTGGTGATGTATTTCATCAGCGGAATGGTGTAAGCCGAGAATTGAGTATTAACCCCGAAAGCTTGTCTGTTCAGCAATATGCTTCATCTGAGAAAACTAGATCTCAGTTGAAATCCTTAATAGGTCACAAGGCAGAACAGCTTTACGTGTACAGATTGCTACCCCTTGGACAAGATCGGAGACGGAACCGGTATTGGCAGTTTTCTGCATCTTCATCATCCTATGACCCTGGTTCGGGAAGAATCTTTTTTGAATCTAGAGATGGATACTGGAGGGTCATTGATTCATCTGAGGTAGTTGTTTCCTCAAAACAATCTTAGTTGCAATTTCATCAACTAATACTCTCAATAAGAGGTCTCTAAAATAGAGTAGTTCAACTGATGATTCTTGATCTTTCAATGTGTTAATTGGTTTGTATTTTATGTAACCTCTGGGAGGTATTTAGATCTAGTTTGAATGGCGGGAACTGCAATCTTAGACACTAGATCAACTTTGAATGGTGGGGATTATGGATTTATGGTGTTTGTTTTCTTCTAGATGATCAAAGGTATAACATTGAAGTTGGATGAATCATGGGTTATGGTATTTGATAGCTGACAAGAACCATCTATATTTTGTTGAAATGCTTAGAGTAATTGTCAACTTGTCATTCCCTTATTTTTAAGTTTGCTTCTTATTTGATATTATAAAATGCTTCGCTTTTAAGATTTTGTGCTTGTTTGTCCATGTCATGTTAGGCACAATGTTTGGGTCATACTACTCTGGCATCTAGCACTATTTCATTGGGAAACCTGTGTTTCCGCTGGCTATGAAATTATATGTGCCTAGTTTTGCTTGTTCCAGATAGTTATGATTCATACGAGATTCTGAATGTCTTTTAATATCTGATTCCTTGTTGGTTGTGTCCTTGAAGACTACTGTTCATAGGGTTTTGAATTGTTGGCAGTAACTGCAGATATCTCGTTCAGTTCCTAGCAAAACCTGTTAGTAAGTTGACTATTGAACACACACATAGTGAGTGGTTACTAAGAAGTTAGCTTGACTGACTACATGATGTAGAGATCCTGTTATACTGGTGCTTTAACGTGATTTCTGATTAAAAATGCAGGCGTTTGATGCTTTGGTAGCTTCCCTTGATACTCGTGGCATCCGTGAGTCACATCTGCACTCAATGTTGCAAAGTATCGAGCCAACTTTTAAGGAAGCTGTTGAGAGGAAAAAGTGTGCTAGTTTAGAACACACAACTGGTCGGACTTTGAAAAATGGAAGTAATGAAAGTCCAAACTGCAACATTGAGTTTGGAAGTCCATGCAGTACCCTTTCTGGTGTTGCTTCTGATAATCTTATGGCATATTCAGATACTTTCAAGATAGAGATTGGGCGCAATGAAGCCGAGAAAAATTCTATCTCGAAAAGGGCTTCCGTGTTTCTGAAATGGATGTGGAGAGAGTGCTATGGTCACCAATCCACATACGCCATGAAATATGGAAAGAAGCGGTGCCCTGAGTTGATTCAATCTTGTGACCATTGCTACCAGATATACTTAGCTGAAGAAAGGCACTGTTCTTCTTGCCACAAGACATTCAAACCCATTCACAATTTCTTGGAGCACTCATCACAATGTGAAGAAAAACAGAGAACAGATCCTAATTGGAAGACGCAAATTGTGGACTTTTCTGTACCCGTAGGATTGAGATTGCTGAGGCTGCTCTTAGCTACCATTGAGGTAAAGTGACATTTTTATGATCATTCATTAGTGACATTTATTTTGCTTGTTGCAAAAAATGCTGTTTGTGTGACTTGTTAGATTGCGTGTTACAGGCTTCAGTACCGGCAGAAGCTCTCCTACCTTTTTGGACGGATGGGTATCGAAAATCTTGGGGTGTGAAGTTGTATTCTGCATCATCTGCCGAAGAAGTCTTGCAGGTTGCATTTCATGTTTTTTTTTGCTATATTTGTTTGCTGTATAATTCAAGTGGCGGAGTCTGGAAAGGATTGGAGAAGATACCATTTTATAACAAGACCAAAGGAAAGAGGGGCCCAAATTAGTATTTTCTTGGCAATTGAATGGTGAAATTGAGTACTAGTAGTACTTTCAAAAAAAAATTATTTTGACGAGGTGGCCCATGGTCCACCTTGGCCCTTCTGAACTTCCACCACTGTTACACCTATTACTAAGTTGTTAATGTATTGAACTTCCACCACTATATACGCTTATGAACCGACTTGGATAGCTATTGTGTAAGAGGAGAATTAGCATGGTTTAAGAAGCCTGATTTTAATTTATCATGAAAGTTTATGTATAAATTTTGTGTGCGTATCTAAATCCTGCCATGTCATATTTCTGCAGATGCTTAGTGTGCTGGAAGGTGCAATAAAGCGAGATTACTTATCATCTAACTTTGAAACAACAACTGAGTTGCTTAATTCAAAAACACAAGATGCTACCCAGAATTCAGTTGGAGGTTCTGCATCTGCCACTGTACTTCCATGGGTTCCTGACACTACCGCTGCTGTCGCCTTAAGATTGTTAGACTTGGATACTTCCATCTCATACGCACTTCATCCAAAGTTGGGTTCAAATAAGGAGCAAGAAGCTGGAGATTTCATGGTGAGCCCTATGGCTTATTATTATTGCATCAAAAGACTAGTGGTGACTACATGTGGTAATTGATTCTCTTGATCTGCTATGTCTGGATCAGTGACATGATTTTGTTTCTTTTTTCACTGTGCAGAAGCTTCCACCGAGATATCCTTCTATTAATAAGAAGGGCGTACCCAGTGCAGAGAGCTCCCGCTCTATGCGGGGTCTGAGAAAGGGTGTTGGTGGCAAGCCTTACCCTCGCCTGTGCAATGCGAGGAGACCGCGACTCGAACCCGGGACCTTCTGGTCACAGGAGGTAAGACTCTACCGCTTGCACCAGGCCCGCCCTTCTATTAATAAGAACAAACAAGAAATAGAACAGTTCAGACCTATTGATTTTGATCAACAGGATGGAGCGTTGCTAACTAACAGCAATGGTCGTAGAGGTCGTGGACGGGGAGGTAGAGGAGGTAGCAGGGGAGGTAGATCTCGTGGTCGTGGTGGTAGGATTCCCAGGGGTATTGGCAGCTCTTCCAGGATTCAGTCCAGGGATGACAATAGTGTGCCCTATGGGAGAGCCCCTCGAAAGAATGCACGCGGTGGGCGTAACCGTGGCCGTGGCTGTGGACCTCGAACTGTTAGACCTCGGCAACCATCCGAGCTCAGTGCCAGATCAATTCCAAAGGCAAACCTATTGGGCAGCTTTAGTATGTTAAGTAAGGCAAATCACACTGGCACTATGCATTCTCCTGAGAGCTCAGGTGCAGAAGAGTGGGCCTTGGAGAGAAGGGAATATGTCAAGGATGATGATGATGATGACAATTCGGTTTCTCAATCTGACGAGTCAGAGGAGGAAAATGGTGAGCCTATGAACGAGGAATATGATGAGCAGATTTCAGTCTATCCAAGGGACAATTCGGAGTCCAGCCCTGTACAAATGATGGATGATGCGAGTGACGATAACGATGAGGATGCTGAAGGAGATGAGGGTGAGGATGATGGAGAGGACTATGAAGCTGAAGATCCTGCTGGTGATGAGGATGACGATGTTGAGATGGGTGGGGATGATGACATTCGGGACGACGATGATGACGATGGTGGAGATGGAGCAGCCAACGCAGATGAGGATGAAGGTGATACATCATCATATTCTTCAGAGTATAGTGAATGATGAGAGTGGATTGAAGTTGTGCAGGCTTGTGGTAAATGATGTAACGGAGGCTTTGGTGGGCTCACCAACACTAATGCTGAGTTGACAAACTATTTAAGAGGCTGCCAGGTCTAAACTGTGTTGTGGCTCGTTATTAGATAGAAGCCAGTCAACATTAGAAGATCGGCCTTGTACATGAACCAGGTCATTTGTGGTGTATACGTACATACCAACTACCAAAAGTTGAAAAGGAGGGTCCAATCAGCCGTCTGTTTTTTGTTCTTCAGCTACTTTTTTTCATTGTTATACATTGGAAGCGTTCTCTTACGGTTGTCACAAAACAGTATGCAACGTACGACCCTAATACGCGAGGAAGACCATTATAGGCCCACAGTGGGTATTAGCTCAAACTATCAGCACCAACCCTAATACTCACAAGCTTACATCTTCCTGATCTTAGCTGTGCTTTGAGGATGACTTATCGTAGTCACAGAATCTTGAGAATAGTTAGGTCCAGTAATTCGTCATGAACTCTTAGAATGTGAACCTCTATCTGTGCCTGAAATTGAATCCTTACCGCAACCATTTGCCATGATTTCGAACTTTTGGTTACTTTGGTGTTTCGTGCCTGTGATCCATCTTTTCATTGAGATGTTATGATCATAGATTAGATTAGATTCCAGTGGCTGAGTATTCCTGTAATGATTGTTGAATGATGATTTGCACTTGGCTCGGTCGCTCAAATCTACCGTCGCAAGTTTGGAAAATGCACGTCTGATTGTTCGGTTTGTTGGATGCTAAGGGGAGGGGTTTATTTGCTTGCTTCACATTTCACAATGATGAACCCCATGTAAATGAGTTCATTAACTTCAGTTCGTTTGCTTTACTTTCTTTTACCACGGAGTAAAAATTTCAGTAAACCGTCAGTTTTACAGTTGGGTCTGAATTGAAATAGGGCGTCGACGCAACTTGAAATAGGAGCACCCACAAGCCATCCGACAAAAGGCAGCATCCATCCTTGTCACATGTCACCTGCACAAGTCCAGAACGAGAGAGCATCCTTTGTCACCGGCATCTGCGAGCGTCGAGGAGCGCGTGCTGCTGGCCTGCTGCATAGCAGCAGTGCAGTGCAGCGGTATGAGGTCGGCAGGTGGCGATGGCCGATGGACCTGCCATGAGCCCACGAGCTGCCGCAACGAAATTAGGCCCAAACTTAACCACGATCGACAATTCCAGACCAAATTGCGAGATCCAAACAGTTTGCACGGCCGGAGGGTGCAGCCAGACTGCACCGAATTTTTTTCCTCCTTCTGGCCCGTCCCTGCCTTGGGCCCCTGGTCGTGCCGTGCGTGATCTTTCCCACGCTCCAAGAAAGAAAACCAGAGGCGCGCGCCCCGTCCGCCCTCCCCAAATCCGTTTGTTTCCCACGGCGCGAGAAAGAAACAAGACAACAACAGCTCCTCTCCCATTCCGATCGCCAATTCGCCACATCGACACGGAGTCACGCGCGCGCGCTCCTCTCCTCTCCCACGAGTTCGTCAGCCTGCTAAGGTAAGACCGTAAGAGGAATCGCCTCGACGTATCGATCGATTCATCAATCCATGCCGTTTTTTTTCCCCGTTCGGAGTAGAGTCGGGCGGGTGCACGCACCGGTGCGGTGCGGCTAACGTGGGCTGGAGCCGCGATTGCCTTTGCTTGCTTGTTTGAAAGACCAGGATTGCCTTTGCTGCGTGGGCGCACGGTAGCTGTTCGTCGAAACTCCTGTGGAGTGAATAGTGATAGAGCACCAGGGCAGGGGTGGATCCTTCTAGGAATTTATAGTGATAGAGCACCAGGGGTGGGATCCTTCTAGGAGTTTCCTTATGTTTTGATTGGATTGGGTCAGACGCACAAATAGCTTGTCTATTATATTTGGTTGTACGCATTCATAGCTTGTGTCTATTGGAATGGTAAATCGAAAGCAAACTAGCTTGTCATCCTACCCAGCAGTGTGAGCCGTGAGGGCAAATGCCTGGAACAGGATGGGCATGTGGACATGTGGTAGTATTAGCTTACACTCCTTAGTCCTCTCCGCTACTTCGAGATATATATATATATATATATATATATATATATATATATATATATATATATATATATATATATATATATATATATATATATATATATATATATATATAGTGTATTGTTCATAAATGATCAAGCATAAGCTGCGTCCGGTTCGTTTGGGCTTGTTTGGTTGATAAGCAATGGCTGAAAGTACTATTGGCTGATTTGGTGTGGGAGGAAAATATCGTTCGTTGGCTGAAAAAGTACGGCTTATAAGCTAAACAAGCACAAACGAATAGGGTGCTTTGTCTTAAATGTATTATCGTAATTTGATTAATTTATGGTCATTATCACCGAACATTTTTTAATCGCATTGCACATGAAATTTTGACTAGGACTACCCTTACCCTTGTCTCAAATCCAGGGTCCGCCACTGCTTGCCTTCTTCCCCATCCGGTGGCCTTTGCAGTCCATGAAGAAGGAGGTGAAGCAAACGCCGCCGCCGCCAAGCCCAACCGCTGGCCAAGATGGCGCCGGCGACGATCGGATCAGCGCCCTGGATGACGACTTGTGTGAGCTCATCCTCGGGTCGACGCACCTCAACGTGAGGGAGCTGGTGCACACGAGCGTGCTGTCAAAGCGGTGGCGCGGCCTCTGGAAGCGCTTACCCGTCCTGGACTTCTTCGGGTGACCGGAGTTCAAGTCGGCCGGCGACGTCCAACAGTACATCGCCATCGTCAACGACTTACTGGAGCAGCGAGCGGGTGTGACATCGGAAGCCCACATCGACGAAGTGAAGATCCCGCTGTTAATGGACGTGTACTCTCTCCATGGCCTGCAGCCTAGGCTGAAAACGGTCGGAAACGATCGATAGGAGGTTAAATCATTTTCAGTTTCATATTGTTGTCTTGAAAACGAAATCGATACGATATTGTCGGTAGCGAGAACGGTATCGATATTCCGGTAAATTCATAAACGAAATTATTCGATCAAAAGTACATTGATAACGATCGAAAATCACGAAAGCGGTATCTGAAATACAATAATAATTAATTAACACACCATTCCGCATAGCATGACATCACGGACTTAATACAATAACAATACTTAAGTCTCACAATTACACAAATAACACAAGCGTAGTCACAACCTCACAAACTCAAACGTACCAATATACTAGTGACTGAAATACTAAACCAAGGTCTTAGTTCGACACTTCGACAATTCAACTTAACAAAGGACGAGATGTAGAATGGATGCTAGAATTATGATTTATGATAGACCGGTGGTAGTTCTTCACAGCAGGCCTCCTATAATTGAACCTCCGGGATGTCATCATCTCCAAGCACATAATCACCACCCATTTATGAGAATTCATCCTACAATTAATAATAGAAATAACACGTTAGTACTAAAAAATGAATTATATGCTATTGCAGTACATATCAATATTTGTACCTCGATGAACAGACTATTCTTAATGGCTTCAAGAACCTCAAGATCACTAGGCAAAGAAGAAATATTCTTAGAACCTGAAAATTAGAAGGTGGCAATATGAGTAGAAAGAACATCAACACATTGTTAATATAAATCAAATGATCAGTTTACACTTCACCTCTTTTAGAGGCAGTTATCCAATCCTTAGTGCAAACAAGTGCTTGTACCATGTCCGGATCAAGGTCGCTTCGATATGGGTCTCATTTAATTCGCCCACCAAACACTAAATGCAGATTCAGAAGCCACAGATTGACACTTGCATTGCCAACACATCACGCAATAATCGTGGAGAGCACAGGATATTCATCCTTCTGATTTTTCCACCATGCTAAAATATCAAAAGTATTATGGTTGGCTTTAGCAACCTTCAATTGTGGTTCTGCTAAGTACCTCTCCAATTCACTTATTCCTTCATCATTACCACCAACATCACTTTCATAAAGGAATGAATCAAGCTCATCTTCCGCAGACTATCCATAAATTGATCTATAGTTGAAGTTGATGAAACAAGTGTTGTATTCTTGGAAGAAGGTACTTGAGGAAACATAGCAATGAAACATGTTCCTTAGAACACCGTTGAATTTATCAAGTTCAGCTTGATAGGAATTTCTATATAACTTTCTCAAGTAAAATTCTACAATTTTTCTCTTGAACCTAGGATCAAGCACATTTGCACATGACTAGAGCAACATTTGACTTCTTCCAATACTTGTCAAACTTGACACTCATAGCATTTGCCATTTGGCAAAGAGTGGCATCATTACTATTGCACCAATCGAGATAGATATAACTTAATCTCACAAAAACCTCTCGAAAAACATGTTTTTTGTTGGATATAGAGTACCGGAAAATATCTCGGTGAGATCAAAGAATTTTTCAAGAAAGGAATCGAGAACTGTGTTTTCTCCCATTCTTGACTTGAAGGAGCAATACACTCATACCTCCGGCGGTCGACAGGAGTGAGCCTCTCAAATGCAAGCTTATAATAAAGAGCATTCCTCAACATGAGATATGTAGAATTCCATCTCGTAGAAACATCAAGTGAGAGAGAACGTTTTGTATCTAGCCCACATTCAGTAGCACATTTCAGGAACTCCTCCCACGGAACCGTCGATCCCTTTACAACAACCACAAACGATCTAATATTTTCAGTTGTAGAGCCAATCACACGCATACCATCTTTAACAACCAAATTAAGGATGTGATTGGCACATCTCACATGAAAGAACAGCCCATCGCATACTAAAGGACTATGCCTCTTCAATTCTACAATGACATCCTTAACTGCTACTTCATTTGCCGGTGCATTATCCAAACTTAGAGAGAACATCTTTTTCTCCACATACCACTTCAAAAGAGAAGAAGTAAGTGTATATGACAACCTCTCACCAGTATGTCGCCCTTCCACATGGAAGAAATTGACAATTCTCTTCTGAATTTTCCAATCATCATCAACCCAATGAAGAGTAATACACATATAACCCTTGTTCTGGTTGGATGTCCACATATCCATAGTTGCACTAAAGCGACTTTGGACTGTTTTGAAGTATGCATACAATTTATCCTTTTCAGCCAAATAATATTGCATTATTTCCTTTCTAACTGTGACACGAGACTTTAGAGGATAATGTGGACGCATTGATTTGACCCACTCTTGGAAATATTCATGCTCAACCATATTAAAAGGGTACTCGTGAACTATCATAGCCTCATAGAACTATCTCAAGCTAGCTTCTTGATCATACTTGTAAGGTTGGACAACTGCGACGCCCAGTATCTTTATCAGTTTTTTTGTTAAGCTGTTGTTGTCCTTTCTTGATGCTGTGATAATTAGCGAGATGGGTCCAAAAGCCAGTTGTTCCAAATTTGCTCTCAGCTCTGTGTTTGCTGGTCTTGTTTACACAACCTTTGACATTGCACTTAGCCCAAAGCTGAGTTTCCTCCTTGCCATTAACCTTCACTGTTACTTTGTACTTGGTGAAGTACTGCCACACTTCAGATGTGCTTTTCTTGGCCCTTTTGCTAGTAGGTTCATTTCCATCCTCGCCATCGCTGCCTGCATCCACATCGATTGGATCAACACCATCTGTTTCAGTGCCACCAGTACCAGTACCACCACTTGGCAATAAAATTCTCTCGGATGAAGGTGCTGTAGCAGGTGTTGCAGAAGAAGCAGACATGCCAAGATTATGGTTAGCATTTTCACTTGCAGCTGGCCTTGCACGTTGATGGGATCCTATCACAGATAATGAAGTGCAAACGTTCTCATATAGTCGAAATAATTCTACACAGTGAAATAGTGCATCAGTAATATATACAAATAAATTTATATTAAAGTCCACGGTCCTACACTTGCATAGATATTGCTATAAAGTTCACATAGAAATAAATCAGTTAATGAGTGATTGATATATATACGCATATGGCATAAATAAGTGAATGAGTGATTGATATATATACGTATATGGCATAAATTAGTGAATGAGTGATATATATACGTATATGTCATAAATAGTGAATGAATGATTGATATGTATACGCATATGGCATAAATCAGTGAATGAGTGAGATATATATATATATATATATATATATATATATATATATATATATATATATATATATATATATATATATATATATATATATATATATATATATATACACACACACGTATACGGTCCTACACTTACCAGACGTAGCCGCGGCCGTTGCCGAGTCTTGAGAGGCAGCGAGTTCGATCGGGAGTTGTGCCTCCATCACTCGCCCTCGAGGGCCTTGCAGCGTCGGATCTGCATCTCCAACCGGTGCCATTCGCTAGATGTCGCTCGACGCGAAGACGCCAAATCCCGAAGAAGAAGGACGATCGAGTACTTGAAGAGTGGAAGACTACGCCACGAAGCCAAAGACTCAGCCAAGGTCGACAACTCGACATGAACTCACGGGAGGTGTGGTGGACACCGTGGAATGGCGCCACCGTCCGCGAAGATCGAGACGGAGATTGCCGATTGGTGATGGAGGCGGCGGCTAGGGCTAGGTTTACGTCTTTGTCGCGTCGATCGTGATCGTGAAGATCTGAAGCAAATGGTGAAGCGGGCAGCGGCAGGTGCCTCGTAAAAGGTCGGGCGCCGGCGGGCTTGCCAAATGGGCTCGGCACTGGGTACTATCGCTACGCGAGAGAGTACCGCCATGGCCCGTGGTCCGGTCTCTTCGTGAGATCGGTAATTACCGACGGCATAATACCGAATACATACGGTATTCTTCGGAAACGGTCGGAAGAGTTTGGATCGTTTTCGCTTTCATTATCGAATATCTCTACCATTCTCGCTTCCGTTGCGCGCCGATTACCGTCGCCGCTTCCGTTAAGGAGAAAATCGGTGATTTTCGAAAACGATTTCGATAATCGAAAATTACCGTTTTCGTTTTCATCCCTACCGCAGCCCGGCCTGGCGGTGGTGGCTTTTTCAAAGACTTGGCATCAGAAGAGCTGCAGCATTGCAAATTAAACCACCGCCGACAGCAACAACCAAACAACTCCGACGACCGCCATGGAAGCGGTGAGGCGTGGATTCAGACGCCATGCATCACCAAGTGAAGGGCTTCAGTTCAACCTTCGCTGTTGCCACTAGACAACAAGACGCTCTGTAATGGATCTTGATGGGCTTCTTCCTAGCTCCCCAAATTTTGGAGTGTATGCGTTTGGGGGTTAAGCGGTAAAAGTTAAACTCCCACGCACCGCGGTGTTCACATTGTTAGATTGATCTCCCAACCAATAAGCCCAACGGCCTATTGGGCCTTGGTCACGCGCCCTGATCGGGGGCACCCAACCCTACATGGTTGGTGGGCCCCCGTCGCACTGCACTATATATAGAGGTGGGGGCCGGCGGCTCGAGGTACGAGGTTCACCGTGAGCCGGAAACCCCACCGACAAACCCTAGACCGATCTAAGAGGCGCGCGCAGCCGTGACGGAAGCTCACTGACTTCATTGGTCGTCATTGCTACGCCCGTCTGTCTCCTGACCGCATCGATGTCCGTGCAACCTCTACTCCACCTGTCGCATTTGCCTGTGTCTTGCCTCCATCACCGAAGCTGAGATGGCCAGCTCAACCGCGACTCCCTCCGAGGGCTTAGGTTCAACACCAGCACCCTTACCCTATCTCCCTCTCGGTGTAGTGTTCTAGGTTTAGATATGC